TGCAGTGGCTGCTCCTGGCTACCGCAGCCTCGACCTGCTGGGCTCTGGCGATCGTTCCGACTCAGCCTTCCAAGTAGCCAGAAATACAGGTGCGTGCTACCACACCCAGCTAATTTTTTGATTTATTGTAGAGATGAGGTCTCACCAAGTTGCCAAGGCGGGTCTCGAACCCGCGGGCTCAGGCAATCCACTCACCTCAGCCTCCCAAGGCACGGGATTACAGGCCGAGCCACCGAGCCTGGCTGGCTTCCTGATTCTCGAGCCCCTGGGAGGTTCCTGAGTCCCCTGGGGGGGTGTGCCTGAGCTCCGGGGGGATTCCTGAGTCTCTGGGGGATTCCTGAGCACCTGGTGGGGGTGCTTCCTGAACCCCTGGGGATTCTTGGGCCCCAGATGGGTGCCTGAGTCCCTGGGGGATTCCTGAGACCTATGGGCTTGCTACCTGGGGTTCTGATGACAGTAATGAGAAGTCATTGACAAGGAGTTCGAGAATCAGGGGACCCAGCGGGATGAATGCCCAGCTGGCCAATAGCAAAGTGACTCACTGAGGCACCATGTGTCAAGGGAGGACCCTCAGGGCAGGGAGAGGCCGCTCGGGACAGTGGGCAGGGCAGGTAACTGTGCAGCAGTCAGTGCCAGCTGGAGGAGGAAAAGGAGAGCAGGGGGAGGGGCACTCCGAGCTGTGGGCAGAGGCAGAAAAGATCTTCCGGTGCCCAGCGGCCTGGGACATTGCTTCTCAGCCCTTCCTTCCGGCATGGGTCCTGCACTGTTTGCCAGTGGGATATAGCACACATATTTCTTGGTTCCTTGACTGGACAGTGAGCTCCCGGGAGGCAGGGCTTGTGCTTTCCTGGCACCCCCTGCAGCAGCCCTCGAAGATGTCCACCTTATACAGAGAAGGGCATGCCCACATGGAGCTTCTTCCCATGTGAAATCCCCTGCGCCGCCATACACCACCCTTCTCCCCTCTACCTTCCCGCCTGATGGTATGTGTGATGGCTGGGGGTGTGGCAGCCGCCTTGTGATCATGGGATGAGAACTAAAAGCACACACACAGACATGCAGAGACACACACACACACAGACACACACTGACTCACACAGACACATACACAGATACACACATACACACAGAGACACACACACAGACAGCCACAAACATACAATCAGACACGCATACAGACATGGACACAGACACACACTGACATACACAGACACATATATAGACACACACACACAGACACACAGACATGCACTGACACACAGACACATACACAGACACATACACAGACAGACATACACAGAGACACAGACCACACACAGACAGATATAGAGACATGCGCACACATGCCACAACACTGACACAGAGACATGCAGAGACACACAGACAGGTACACAGACACACACTGACACACACAGGTACATACACAGACACACACACTGACACCCACTCGAGGGCAATTGCAGCCGGGCAACCTGAGCAGGGGCTGTGGGTGGCACCAGGTGAGCCTCGGGTGTGACCTTGATCTGGGTTGTCCAAGGGTCTTGGGGTCGGCTGAAGGGTGGGCAGGTCTGTCGTTACCTTTGCAGCTGTGTGTGAGTCTACACCTGTCTCAGCGTAAGAAGTCATTCTGGGAAGCCCCCTGAGATTCCGACAGAAGCCTCAGTGCCTGGTGTCAGCTGAGGGTGCAGAGTCAGGTGCCCCCATGCCCCACTGCACTCGGCATCCTGAGCACTGGGCAGAAGCCCTCCCATCACTCTGGTTAGACCTTTTTGTGGGGGGACCCTCATTTGGGTTCTACTTTCTGGTGAACTTGAAATGTGTCAACTTCATTTCCTGTGGAAAATGTTCACGGCACAGGCCTGTGAGCGACCTAGTGGGGTTCACCCCCTGCCCTGGGAGGATCAGGGTCAAGGCCAAGGATGGAGAGAAGGCTTGGGTGGGAACATCTGCGGGACAGACTGTGGGTGACCCAGGGGGTCCCCCACCCCCACTGACCTCAGAAGGCTCCGAGTTGATTCAAGGAAGGGGTGAAGACCTGGGGTAATGGCCATTGAAGGAGACCCAGTTTGGCTGGACGGTGAATGACTCCCGGGAACCCACACACACAGAATGTGACTCTTCTTGTGTACGGAGGTGCGGGGGTGCAGGGGCAGGGGTCAGGGGCAACTGCTGGGGCTCTTGGGAAAGGCGTGCTCCTCTCCGGGTGGCCCAGCTGCTCAGGAACGAATCTGCAGCTTCCAAGACCCTTCTGATCACAGCAGAGGGAGCCCTGAGAACCCAGTGGGCAAAAAGTGGCCAGCAAGGCCCCGGAACATGCCCTCTCAGTCACAGGATGCTGCCACACTGGGGACACTGCTGTGCCGAAGCCACCATCCCTCCTAGGACCATTTGTGCAGTGAGCCCACACGGTTGCATTGTCTAGGCAGCCCTGAGGTGGGCTTCTCCCTCCTGCTTCCTGGCAGGTCCACCGTTGTCACTGGAGTGGGATGCACTCTCAACCCCAAAGCGCAAAGGGGACAGGCCACCCTAACCCTCCACTCCCTCTTGGCCCGACAAGGGCAGATCTATCATGCTGAGGAGGGCCTCGTAATGTGGAGGGGAGGAAGGTGGGTGGACACAGGCGCCTGGGTCCCAGCCTGAGCCTGCTCACTCACGGCCCGGGTGACCTCCCGACCCCACCGGCATTCCCGACGGAGTCAGTATTTCATCTCTCTATGCTTGTGTTCCATCAGAAGGTGCTCCCGAATCCCTTCGTCAGTCCGTTCCTCAGAGGATAATGACTCATTTCTGGCAGTATTTCCTCCTTACCCCACAAAGGCATCATAGAAAACCTTCCATTACAGGTAGAGAAGATACTGAAAAGATGACTTCCAGGCCCGGGAATCCCCGCCAGGAACAGCAAGCCAGGCTGTGTGGGGACACCATGGCCTCGCCCCGCAGGGCCCTGCCCTCACCTGGACGGGCTGGCTGGGCCTGCCGGCGGCCCCTACACCTCCATCCTGGCCTTTGTATGTAGACTGCTTGTTCCAGGACTAGAGACGGACGAGAGCTTATTGGGGGACGTGAGCAAGCAGGTCCGGGGCCCAGGATGCCATGGGGGTCCCAGTGTTCTTCCCACGTTCTTCCCCAGTCCATCACCCCTGGACTACTTTACAAGACCCCCCTTGGCACTGCGGATCTGCCCAGGGGTCCGCCAGGAGCTCTGAAGCGTCCGTCCACATTTAACTCAGCAAGTCTTCGGAAAGCTCTGGTGTGATGGGAAAGACAGCGGGCTCCAGGGCAGCGAACCACCTCCTCTGCCAGGCCATGTGGCATTGGGATCACCCTGCCAGAGACCCAGGCTCAAAGGCTCATCAGGATTTCTGAGGAGGAGATGGCAATTTGCTGCTTTTGTTATCCTAATGAGCAAAGCCCTGCGCTTTGGGGAAGACTGACTATTGATTTTTTAAAGTAAGACTTGGAAGGTTGATTTGTGAGAGAAAGGCCAGGAAAACCCAGGCAGTGTTGGGGTGGGGTTGGCCCACTGCACTGTGATAACAGGGAGGAGCCCAGGCCCATACCCCCACACCCACCCCTGAAGGGGGCTCAGCACCTCATTCAATTTTTTGGTGGAGGGGAGTTGCTTGGTGCTAATTTGCCCACCTCCCATCTGCCCCCGCCCGCCTTGGGACTGCCGGGACAAGTGGCCCAAGTTTTCCGCACAAATAACGTCACTCCGTTCCCTTCAGTGACACCGCACTCGCTTGTGTCTCGCTGTTCCGAAAAGCCATTAGTCAGAAGTGCAATTCGCCTTGTTGAAACAGCAGCCCCTGGAGATGGTGATAGCCACGCCAGTGTAGGAGCAATGATACATGCGTGCTGTCTGTCTCAGAGCTTGAGGCCGCCAACCCTTCCTCGGGCCCTGGCAGGGCACTGGTCCTCTGGATTCCAAGGCTGAAATGGCCTCCCTATGGCCGGCACAGGTAGTCAGGTGGGGCTGCTGGCTACGACACAGACCTACTCAGCTTCAAGTTTAGACCAGAAAGGGACACTTTTGCAGCGTCAGTATGTCCACATCCCGCTAGGACACACTCAAACAGGAATGCCAAGTCCACTTGCCGTCTCGCTTCAGGGGCTACATCCGGCAGCCCCCTAGGTCTCCTCAGTGACCTCACCACCCCCACACAACCCAAGGCTTGTCCCCAGGACCCCTGCCCTCCCCTCACATAGGAGCTACTCCTCCCGATGGAGACCACTGGGGTCTGAATCGGCAGGTCCAGGGCAGGACGGGTACCTGCCAGGATGGGATGCCTGGGTTCCGACCCACATACACTGAGGGCTCTGGGCGCTCCCTGGCAGCCTCGGGCCTGGAGTCTCCTCGTTGCCCAAGGGGAGGGGCCACCCACCTCTTGGCAGTTATGGGATGCAGAGCCCTGAGACATGACACACGTGCCACGAGGGCCCAGCCACGCTAACGCAGTTGTCATCATGGGTGTTGGATGGGAGCCTTGGGAGGATGGGCTCTTGGATCAGTTCTAAAGGGACCCTCAGTCAAACGGGCTCACCTCTGGGGAGGGGTGCCTTCTCTTGCTTTTCATTGTGTTGGAGTCGAATCCCAAGAACTCAGATGGCCTCAGCTCTCTGACCTCTCCTCCTGCCCCAGGACCTTGGCACGTGCAGTTTCCTCCCCCAGAATCCCGCCAGGTGCCGCTCCTCCCACGCTATAGCTCCTGGCCTACACGTTACCTCCAAGAGGGGCCTGTCCTGACCCAAAGCTATCCCTAGGACTCTACTGCACCCACCATCCTTCTAACAGTTTCATTCCCTGGTGCCTTCTCCCTTTTGTCTGTGTCCCCTCTGGACCCCAAGGCTTACGAGAGCAGGACCCTGGTCAACACTTGCAAAGCCATCCTGGTGGCCCTCCTTGGCCTCCACACCCTCCAGGCCCTGCCTCCTCGTGCCTGTGGGATCTTAGGAAGCGAAGGCCTGAGTCCCCGCCCCCCACACGGCCTGGGGCTCACCTGGTTTGGCGCCCTCATCCACGGAGCCATTGTAGACCTGGTTGATGAACTCGGGCCGGTTGTCGTTCATGTCGATGACATAAATGTGCAGGTCGATGGGGTTCTCCACTTTGTTGCCGTTCATGTCTACAGCATGGGCACGCAGCTGCAAGGCAGCATGGATGTGTCAGTGCCCATGGGGGGCTCAGGGACTGAGCAGGCGGGAGGTGACACACAGCTCGGCCCCCCAGGGACGCAGGGGCAGTTGGCAGGGTCGGTGGGCTTTGGGCACGTTGGGGAGCCTCGTGGAGCCTCTGTCTTCTCCTCTGTGGAAGGGAGTCCTGGGAGCACAAGCAGGGAGACTTGTGGGCTGGAGCCCCCGGGGCCCCCTGTGCCCTGGCCTGGCCCACCCAGGAACTCCTGGTGGGTGGGTGGTTTTGTGCACCACTGGCTATTCTGACCAGATGTCGGAGCAGGACAGGCATCTGCAGTGGGGGTCCACATCCACCCACGGCAGCCACAGGGAAGCCATTAGTGCCCAGTGGGGAGGGCCTTAACTCCAGCCAGGGAAAACATGTGGGGTGTGCACTGTGCCTGGACTGGGAATAGGGCTCCACCAGAGCCCAGCCCAGGAGGGCTTCAGGCTTTTTGTTTGTTTGTTTTTGAGTTGGAGTCTCATTCTGTTGCCCAGGCTGGAGGACACTGGTGCGACTGGAGGGCAGTGGCACGATCACTGCATGATCAAGCTTACTGCAGCCTCAACTTCCTGGGTTCAGGTGATCCTTCTGCCTCAGCCACCTGAGTAGCTGGGACCATAGGTGCTATCACACCTGGCTAATTTTCTTTTCTTTCTTTCTTTTTTGATTTATTGTAGAGATGAGGTCTCGCCAAGTTGCCCAGGCGGGTCTCGAACCCGCGGGTTCAGGCAGTTCACTCACCTCAGCCTCTCAAAGGTGTGGGATTACAGGCTGAGCCACTGAGCCCGGCTATTTTTTCTTTTTTGTAGAGCAAGGTCTCACCATGTTGCCCAGGCTGGCCTCTAACTACTGAGCTCAAGCAATCCTTTCACCTCAGCCTCCCAAAGTGCTAGGATTACAGGTGTGAGCCACCATGCCTGGCTAAGATGCATACTTCCTAAGTCTGCTTGCTACATTAGCTTGGCACAGCAGAGAAAACAGGGAGTCAGGAAGGGGGCGCCAGATGGGAGGCTGAGCTGGGAACCCCTCCTGCCCCCTGCCAGGGGAGGGGCCTCCAGAAAATCCCACAGAGATCTGTCTTCAAGGTAGAAAAGGGAGACATCCTGAACTAGAGCTGCAAGTTTCCAGAGGGGCAGTTCTGACTCTTCCTGAAGTTTTGGGTTTGTTCTTTCCCTAGTTCACCATTTCACTCACTCACTCACTCACTCACTCACTCACTCATTCATTCATTCATTCACTAAATGCCTACCAAGGACCCTAGATTATTGTGTAATGATCCCATAGCTACCTTGGAGCATCTGTCCAGAAAGATGATGGCTGAGAAGGAAAAGAGGCTACGGGGGCTGGGGGGGCTCACTGGGGCTGGGAGAGGTCAGGGAGGCCTCTTCAGCAGGGACCTTGGGCTCAGACCTCAAGAACAGGACAGGGATGAGGACACGGTGGAGCTGAGCTCTGCCACCAGGAGGGGGTGACGCGGGGTCATCGGGTCTGGGGATTGCAGGGTGAGGAACCCACAGCCAGACCGGGGTGGGGGTTTCCTGAAGTCACTTCTTGCCACAGCCGGGATTGTCACCCAACGGGGTCCTCCCTCAAAGACCTTTGCCCCAAACCCACATCATCCTAGAAGCTGGACACATCAGACCTCATGGTCTTTGGCACCAAGGCCAAGGATGCCCAGGAGAACAGCCTTGAGCTGGATGGGTCTCCATGTTGCCCCCTGGGCAACCCGCTGGGAATGGCCGCCTTGGTCACTGGGATCGGGAGCTGTGGATCCCATGCCTGTGCAGGAATCGCCCGAGCTGACTGTGTCGACACCAACACCAGTGCTTTGGGTTGGTTCCAACAGTCCTGCGTGGAACCTTTAAACGGTGAGTTTGAGGCCAGGCTGGAGGCTGGCTTTCCCTAGGAGGCAGCCTGTGCCATAGTAAGGAGACACGTTCGGCCCTATCCTGGGGAGGCTGCAACTGCCTGCAAGATGTGACTGTGTGCATGCCACACTGGCTTTATGGATTATGTTCAGTAATCCAGAAAAGTCCTGGGTGTTTCGACCAGCCGCCCACCCGTGGCTACAGACTCCTCCGTCCCCAGGTGGAGGCACCTCGGCCAGTGCCCGGCCATCCTTTGTCTTGTCAAACACAGTCATGCAACCCATGCCTGCTGGAAGGTCGTGGGGCCTCAGAGGAAAGTTACTATCTCCTAACTAAAGCCACGCCACGCCACTAGGTTTGGGCGCTGTCTTCCCTGCCCGTGGTCCCCCGAGTTCCACTCCCTGCCCACCCCCAAAAGTCTGTGTTACATCTGATAATCTCAGTAGGGGTCTCCAGGGAAAGACTTCTCTCCCACTGTTTCCCAGGTCGTGCCTGCCTTGGCGGGCCTGGGGTGGGGGGCTTTCCTTGGGGGTAGAGGGGAGCCAGGCCAGCAGAGGAGGCGTCCATGCCTACAGCAACTTGAAGATCTGAGTGTCATGCGCAAAGTGACTTTCTCATGGTGCTCTGACTAGGGCACTTTTAAAATTTTTATCTTTTTCAAAATTCTTTTTCCTTTTTGAGTTGGGGGTCTCATCCTGTTGTCAGGCTGGAGTATGGTGGCATGATCATGGCTCACCACAGCTTCGACCTCCTGGACGCAGGTGATCCTCCTGCCTCAGCCTCCCAAGTAGTTGGGATTACAGGCATGCACCATCATGCCCAGATAATTTTTAATTTTTTTTGGTAGAGATGAGGTCTCGCTGTGTTGCTCTGGCTAGTCTTGAACTCCTGGACTCAGGCAATCTTCCAGCCTTGGCCTCTCAAAGTGCTGGGATTGCAGGCTTGAGCCACCATGCCTGGCCAAATGAATGGAGCACTTTCTATCCTTATCGTGGGAGGTGAGCTTGGGGATGTCAGCGTGTGGGTGTTGGTCTCATGTGGGTGGGACAGGCGCCAGAACGCATGTTGCCCATGACCCTCTAGCTGCGTGAGGGAGCGAGTGCTCCCCTGACCTGTTCTCTCTTCTTTGTGTCTTAACTGTGGGCTGTGGGACTCTTCCTAGGGGTGTAGAACTGGGATAGTCACGGGGGCCTCGAAGGCTGCCCAGCACGGCACTCTGGAGATTCTCTTCACCGATGGCAACAACAGCCAGTGAGCATGGTGTACCTCTCAGAGCTGGCAGCGCCCAAGAGCTCACATGTCAATTCACTTCAGTTTTTACAAGAATCTGGCCATTGCCTTAATCCTTCATTTACAGATGGGAAACTGAGGCCCAGGAAGGCAACAGCATGTGTTGGATTCAATAGTGCCCTTCTATGGAATCCTTCAAGAATCTTCTAGAGTGTCATCTTACAAAACCAACAGTGGTCATGTGCTTATCTCATGCATTCGAACGTTTACACACTGGTTTCCGGGGTAACTCGTGTCCACACATCTGCACACACTCAGGTTGGAGATGCATTCTCCTCTTGGCAGCCAGAGGAGTTGGATGGAAAATGGGCCAGATCCAAGGGTACCTGAGGAGGCAGGAAGACTTCAGGATGGCCCAGGACGCCAGGCACTGTCTCCAGATGTGAACACCGATGTGTCCCCTCCACAGGGTTACAACATCTGGCCGCTGACCTCAAGCAGGGTGACCCTTGGGGACTCTGTCCACCCATGTGGGTCTTTGGAGGCAGAGCCTTCTTGTCTGGCATCACCCTTGCTAGGTGACCGTGGAGGGGCCCATGCCAAGGAAAGCAGGCGGGGACCTCAGTGGTGCGACCACAGGATGGGATCCGCTGTAGCCTGGGTGAACCTGAATGATTCTCCCCAGAGCCCGCTGAGTGTCCAGCCACCGGCACCGGGATTTTAACCCTGAGCTGAGCCCACCTGGACTTGTGACTTGCAAACAGTGAGCTCATGATGGCTGCTGTTATGCCAAGTGTGCACTGGCTTGTTATGCAGCACAGAGGACCCACACACCCCGCTGGCCAGCACAGCTGGCACAGCTGTCCCTGCAGGACCTGACGGGCATCCTAGGAGGTGGAAGTCCTGGGAGGGAGGGTCATGTTGGAGGCTCCAGGAGTGTGATGATGGCAGGGGATCCCAGCCTCAGGATCCACACGGGGTAGAGAAGTACACGGGGTCTAAGCTGGAGTTCCAGACACCCTTGACACTAAGTAGCTGTGTTGGGGTGTCCAGGAATTGGGGTACATGTGTCTCCTGATCCAGGAAGGGGGTCAGCACACACAGGGCCACCAGGGGGTCTGCAGCTGAGGTGCGGTGGGCCGGGCTCAGATGTGAAGCGAGACCTGTGCGTTCCCGAGCTCCGCGTCCGTGGAAATGGCATTGTTGTGTGACAGTTGGTGTGGAGCTCAGAGGACAGACACACAGGGCTAGTGTTGCAGCCTGAGACCCAAGGTCACACAGGGTCCTGTGGTCAGAAGGGCCCAGGGTGGTTAATTCTAATGTTCTGCTCTCAATGTCTCGAAATTCTTAATAATTTTAGATGAGGGCCCCACATTTCACTTTGCATTGTTTACCAGATGTCCTGCACTGTCCTGGGCAGGGAAAGAGCCTGGCCAGGGCCTGGCCTGGAGCAGGTGCTGGCCAAGCTGGCCAAGTTCTTGTCCAGCAAGAACTTGCAGGACAGTTGATCCCAGCTCCGAAATCAAGACCCCCATAGAAGAGGGAAGGAGGGGAAGGCTTAGGTCAAGGAAGAGGAGGCTCTTTTAGCAACAATGCTAATTAAACATGAATCTGCCTAATCTGGAAAAAGGTGAACTTAATCAGCAGACGGCCTCCTCGTGTGGCCCACTGGAGGCAAAGGCTCTGATGACAGAACCAGGCATGTGGCTGGTTAATCAGGGAAGGACTGGGGAGACGTGACCCAGTGGTGATGGAGAGACTGACTTGGGGGGAGCTGTGCAGAGACCTGGGGTCACCACTCATTCTGGGGGGCAGGCCTACACCTGTTTCTCCTTTTCTCACTCTTCATGACTGGCTGAGGCCCCCTCTAGACTTGGGGCTGAAATGTCCCTGAAAGAACACATTTTAGAAGGGCTGTGTGCATGCGGGAGGGTGAATGGACAGTAAGGGAGGGGAGGGAAGAGAGGGAAGGAGGGAGAAGGGAAGGAAAGAAGGAGACAGATGGGGGCCTGGAGGGGGCTGGTGTGACCCGTGTCTGGCTGTTGCAAGCGTGTGTATGGAAGCACCCACTGTGCCTGCCAGGTTTTCAAGGGTGCCCTGGGTGTCACAGAGTGGAGTAAGTCCTTGGAGATCCCCCGGGGAGGCAGCCCTGAAACTGTCTCTTTGGCACCAGCAGCAAACCCTGCCCAGCCTGACAGTGGGCATGTGCCCACAGCTACCAGCTTCCAAGTTGGTTTTCTCCACAGCCCTTGGCCTGGGAACACAATCATCATTCTTGCTCAGGATACAACAATCTTCCTTTAGATTTTCAGGCACCCAGGGGAAATCTCCATCCAGCTACCAAGACCACCTATTTCCTCCACAGCTCCTTCTCCCCAACCCTGATCTCCACAGCCTTAGTGGCAGAGTCGGGGGACACCCAGATGCCCATCTCAGATGGTGCCTCCTGGACATGCAGAAGTGCTGGGTCGGTGTCTGCATCTACTTTTCTCGAAGGCTCTGTCTGGCTGCTAAAGACTCCAGAGACTCAGCTTTTTTTAGGGGCTTCAGGTCAAGAAGGATTTGAAGCCTTTTCATCTCACTACTGTATAAGCTCCCCCAATGTGGGACCACATCTACTCCATTCATCTCTACATGTCCAGTACCTAACACAGGGCTTGGCACATAGGAGATGCTCAGGAAATGTCCCCCAGATGGATGGATGGACGGATGGATAGACAGATAGATAGGATAGTGGATGGGTAGACAGATGGATGGATAGATGGGTGGATGGATGGATGGGTGGGTGGATGGATGGATGGGTGGGTGAATGGTGGATGGATGAATGGGTGGGTGGATGGATGGATGAGTGGATGTATGGGTGAATGGATGGATGGGCGAGTGGATGGATGGATGGGTGGATGGGTGGATGGGTGGATGGATGGATGAGTGGATATATGGGTGAGTGGATGGAGGGATGGGCAAGTGGATGGATGGATGGATGGAGGAATGGGTGGATGCATAGACAGATCGGTGGATGGATAGATGTATGGGTAGATGGGCAGATAGATAATGGATGGATGGGCAGTGGGTGAGTGGAGAGTGGATGGTGGACAGATGGATAGATGGGCAGATAGATAATGGGTGGATAGGAAGTGGGTGAGTGGATAGGGGATGGTGACATGGATGCATAGATGGGTGGATGGATGACTGGATGGTGAATAAGTGGATGGATAGATGGATGGGTGGATGGATAGATGGACAGGTGGATGGGTAGATGGATGGATGGATAGATGGACAGATAGATAATAGACGGATAGGCAGCAGTGGGTGAGTGGATAGTGGATGGGTGGACAGATGGGTGGATGGATAAGTCAATGGTGAATGGATGGATGGATGGGCAGAAGTTTGAATGCCTGGATGAATGGATGGGTGGGTCTATGGGCAGGTAGATGGGCAGATGAATGGATGAATGAATGGGTGGATAGATAGAAGGGTAGATAGATGGGTAGATGAAAGGATGAGTGGACAGATGACTAGACAGGTGGGTGGGTTGGTGGATGGATGGTGATGGACAGGTAGATATATGAGCATACGGGTGGGGGGACAGGCAGATGGATGACGGGTGGATGAGTGGATGGATGGACTGAAGGACGGGGGATGGGAGATGAAGTGGGCAAACAAAGGGAGGAGTCTGGAAAGCGGACCAAGCTTTCTCTTAGAAGCCGCTGTAATGGGGCTGAGTCCACGAGCTGGGAGGGAGGAGAGTCTTTTTGGTGACGCTGGCACTTGCCAGCCTCCCAAGTGGGTTCCCTGGGCCCACTCAGCCCTGGAGCCCCAGGGCCTTGTCAGGGGAGGCCATCATGGACAGAACCACCTCCTCCTTCTAACATCTTCCCCTATGCGAATGGCTGGCGAGCACCCCAAGGGTCTGCTCTGTTCCTGGGCCTGGGATATGGTGTGGTCAAGTCTTGTCATTCCCTGCCCACATGGAGCCTACTTCCAGCGAAAGGAGATGGAGACAGTGAACCCCAAAACAAAACTCTGCAGACACGAGATGCCACAGAGTCAGAGTCAGGCCCTGTCCAGTACCACAGGCTGAAGTCAAGTGAAGTCAGAGCCAGGTAATGACCACACCAGGGCAGAAAGACGGAGCACCTTCATTCCCAAACAACAGTCGAGAGCCTGGAAGTCCAGACACCATGACAAGCGCCATGGACATACACGCTACCCTAACTCTGTGCCAGGCTCTGTGCAAAGGCCTCACTCAGGTTTACCTCGAGTCCTCAGAACAACCTGTCAAGCCAGGAGAGACAACCCAGGCAGGAGGGGCTAAGTGATTTGCCTGAAGGTTCATAGCTGTTGAGGGGCGGGGTTCACACCTTGTGAGGGGATGGGTCCCACACCTGATGAAGAGCAGAGCTCACACCTAGTGAAGACAGGGATTCACCTGGTGATGGGTGGGGCTCACATCTGGTGATAGGTGTGGCTTACACCTGGTGAGGGGTGGGTCTCACACCTGGTGAAGGGTAGGCCTGGGCTTGTCCCTCACAGCCAGCTCCAGCCTGTGCTGCCTCCAGTCGCTGCAGACCCTCTCCTGCACTTGAGGAAAGCCCAGGGCACTGCCCCTCCTGGCATCACTGGGCGGAGAGAGAGAGGGACCTGTGCCCCAGCTGCCTTCACCATGGCTGGCCCTGCCCCTCAGCCAGGTCAGTGAGCTCAGGAGGGGACGAGTTGAAGCCCGTTGAGCCTTGACCCTGTATCTCTCACAGTCTCTCTTCTCTGTGCACAACCAGCACACAGACCAGAGTTGTGCTCGTGCAGAGGTGCTCTGCTGTCAGGGAGGCAGTGGGGGTGAAGTGGTAGAAGGATGCATGTCCTGGAACCAGAGAGGATGGGAGGAATGGCAGAGCTGCACTCTGGAGAGAGGGCTGAGGGGGGCACGAGGGTCCCCACAGGGGCAGAGACAACTGAGGCAGGAGACCACGCAGGTGGGGCCCTTCCAGAGCAGTGGCTCTCCCTGTGCAACCCGGACCTAGCCAGTATCCCCAGGAGTGTGTCAGAAGCATGGACACTCAGGCCGCCCTGGGGCCCATGGAATCGGAAGCTCTGGGGTAGCGCCTGGTGATCCGGCCCGCACCAGCCCTCCTGGAGCCTCTGCTCCAGGCTGACGTCAGAGTCATTCTCCTACAGGTGGACTCGAGGGCAGGCTTTGCCGAGGGGGCTGGGGTGGGGCTGGGGTCACGGCCAATGCCCTGGTGCCTCCGCCTTTTCTCCCATGACTGCGGATACTCACGTGGTAAGAGGCTCTCTCCTCCCGGTCCATGGGCCGCGTGACATACATTCGGCCAGACATGGAGTCGATGCTGAAGACCTCCATGGGGGGCTGGTCTGCACCCACGCCCGTGATGCTGTAGCGGATGGGGATGTCGTTGTCTTTGTCGGACCGGATCTGAAAGGCAGCAGCAATGCGAGGGAGGTCAGCCCATAGCGAGGGCCCCTGATGCCCATCTTGTCCCACGAACACCCCCCACTGGACCATTCTGGGCTGCCTCAGGGACCATAGCTCATCTTTCATCCACTCTGGGAACTGGAAGGACAGTTCGTGGTCTAGGGCCCATCAGTGGTGCAGGCGTACAAGGCAGAATATTTCCTGTTCAGTGGCTGCACAGGGGGCTGGGGACACCTGGCAGAGAGTCATGACACGGCTAAAGAGAATGGAAATGATGGTTTAAGGTGGCCCCACAATCTGCTGTCAAACCTAAAACACAAAGGCAAGAACACAGAGCAACCTCCATGGGGTTTTGAGGGTCAAAGTTGGACCCAGCAGATCCATGCCCTGCCGAGTTTGGATTCGTGTGTGAAGGCCACGGGTATCTGTGATGCCCATAGACCAAGGCGATATCCCATCTTGTTCCTTGACAGAGGCCCTGAAAGATGTGATTCTTTCTGTTCCTTCAGAAGTGACACCCTTAGGACATCAAGAATGGGGGCTGGGACTGCAAGTGACCAGTGCCAGGATGCGGAGACACATGTAATGCTGGACGTTGTTGTCCATGCGGCCACAGAGCTAAATATTTTACACGAGAGTATTTTTTACAGAGAAGCTGCAGGCTGTTTAAAAAACAAATGAAAAAAAATTTGAATGATGATTATCTGTGTCCCGATTCCAAAGTAAATTAGAAAAGACTGATGACTGCGGTGAGAATGGAGAGAATGCAGGTAAGTGGAAATTCCGCATCTGGTGTAGGGTGGGGGAGGGCTGGGCAAAAACTCCTTTGTGTTTTTGACCAGATAAGTAGATAAATATACATTTTTGGGGAAACAAAGAGGACACTAGTGGCATTAAAAATAAGATGCGTGTCTTTCCTTTAGATGAGGCAAGACGTCTTGTAATGAGAAGGGGGAGTTGTAGACACCTGGCCATCAACCCATGGCAGGAAAGCACTGGCTGCTCAGAGCCTAGATTTCCCTTTGGAGGCATGAGAGGCCACAGAGACTCCAAAGGTATGATTGATAAGGTGGCATTAATAGATTTGCTAGGATTACGCCTTTAGAACATACTACTTTTTTGTTTTTAGTGAAATTCATGGGACCAGGATGACATTTTAGAACAAAGTGTACCACAGTGAAAACCTAAAAACATATTGCACAAAACAAAATTGACCAGGAGCTTTTTTTGGAACAATACAATTAAAATTTAATAGCAAAAAAAAATTTTTTTTTTTTTAAAGCCCAAAGACACTGTAAAATAACCATTGGGTCAAATAGGCATCCAAATTGCATTGAGGATATTTGAAAATATTAATTTTGTTGACTAATTAATAACAATGATACTATTACATAGTGAAACCAAGAGATTGAGTCAAAGCAAATCTATAACCTTAAATGTTTTCATCACTGAAAGAGAATTATAGCAGACCAGGTGCAGTGGCTCAGGCCTACAATCCCAGGGATTTGGGAGGCCAAGGCAGGAGGATCACTTCAGGAAGGAGTTTATTAAGATCAGTCCAGGTAACACAGTAAGCCCTGCCCTCATCTCTACAAAAAATCATTTAACAATTAACTAGGCAGGGTGGCACATACTTGCAGTCCCAGCTACTCAGGAAGCTGAGGCAGGAGCACTGCTTGAGCCCAGGAATTTGAGGCTGCAGTGATCTGTGATCATGCCACTGCACTCCAGCCTGGGTGACAGAAAGACTCCCTTTCTTTAAAAAAAAAATTATAGCAAATAAACTATGCATTCAACCCCAGAAGAGAGGGAATGAGAAAGCAGATTGCAGTAAACACCAAAGTAATCAATAAAGGTGAACACAAAAATGTCTCCACCTGAAAACAGAGAAATGGAAGAATTGATAAATAGACCCACAAGGTGTCCTTAGGGGAAAAATCTTCAAGAAACTACAGGCATCTTTGGTAAACTTAAGAGAAAATAGTTTTTTTTTTTTTTAAAACATTCTCTATATGCTTTGCTAGCAAGGTTAAAACTCTCAATGACATGGATGATTTTTTGAGAAAATACAAAAATTCAAGCTTGACTGACAGAAAGAACAAGCTTCAAGATTCCACTGTCCCCAGGAAACTCCTGAAAGAGCTTCAGAAATGCTTGCCCAGGAGTTTCTGACACTTTTCTAGAACAGAGGACAAGAGAAGAGCCGACCCACTTGGTTTTGTGAAGCTCTCATTTCTCAGATACAGTCACACCCCAACAGTACACAGCAAGATTGCTTTGTGCCACATAGTGACAGGGTCTGAGCAACAGTTGGCTGCTATCTCTCATGGTCAATCAAAGACAAGAGGTAGAGACTGGGAGAAAAGGCAGTGTTCAATTTCTATAACTAAGTTATGGGAGATGGGTTGGCATCCTCACCAAAAACCAAAAAAAACAAAAAACCTCTCTCCAAGCAACACAAATTCATTCCAGGAATTATTCCCCAAATCCCAGTCCTTCCCCCACCCTGAGGTTGAAGACCCTGTGCAATCTTAGCATGCACATGAACGGTTTTTGATATGTGACCACTGACACGATTCAGTCTAGTCTCCTGACCATGCTGATGTTTTAGATAACTTTCTGTAATTTACAACACGTTCTTTACAGGAAGGGACAGACAATGGCAGCATCTGGAAGGAAGGGAAAGTCACAACATTTACAATGATAGCTTTAAACTGTTTTAAAACATAACTGTAAATATCTCCCATTCCCAGAGCCCTGGCCCATAACAGTCCGATGTCCTTGCATTCACAGAATGAGGGGAGGTGGACTGTGCCCACGCCAGGCTTTCAAACACATTCCTGTGGGCCTGGGCCCACTATCCTAATGATTAGGTGGTCTGGCTTGCCAGATGTTTTTTCTTTAGCACCAGCGATGGCTACTAGATAAGACTGGCCGGCCGGGCAAGGCTGTGCTGGGGTGGGGGGAGGGGAGGTAGGAAAAATGTACACTTTAAAATTCAAACAACTTTTACACTCAGCTCAACTCAATTACAAAAAACAGCCTTTTAATACAAGTTTCTTTTTAAATTGACTATTCCAACACAACCCAAATGGCCTCTTCTTAGCCTAGAACATACCCCACTGTCAGCTACACCCATGATTTCTATCATGGGATTTTTAGTTTGCCTTTTTAAATCTGTGTCTGATGCTATGCCAGACTCAGGTTGGAGATTAAGCTTAGCACGTGGGGTAATAGGATAATAAACCATCCTTAATAGGCAGTGATGGTCTGAGCCTTTAGTTAGGAACTTGGGTATGAGCAAAGTCAAGTTCAGCCCTCAGTTTCCCGTTATTGGCCAACATCATTCCTTAGAATGCACACATAGGCCGATAAACAGCAGGGGTCCCACATCACCAGGAAGGCTCACTCCTAGAGTCTCTGTTCCATCTGCCTGGCGCAGTCCCACGAGGGTAGGAGGCACAGTCTTGTAATTGTCCATCTGGTGACGATAGTTTCTGCATTGGTGATGTTGGGTTATGGGGTAGGACATGGTTTGGCCTGATTTTAAAGGCGAGAGGGAGCCAGGCCATGAGTGGGGTGTAGGAGTGTTGCCCAAACTGAGAACCAGCCAGCAGGCACAGCCACAGAGTCAAAGCCTGCCTTGTCGCGTCTAAGTAGAACTTCTCTCTGATGTTAGGGTGACTTCTCGCTGGGTGACTGCTTGTGCAGCACAGTAACAACCATAGGACGGCCTCCACAGAGGCTCGGATGCGGGGTGATGCTTACCCTTTCCAGTTTAATTTGTACGAAAGCAAGCTACCCCCTAGAAAACCCCCCTTGGAAAATTCGGCCTGATAGTGAGCCCACATTTATGTGTGATGAAATTACACACCAGCAAGAGCCGGCGACACCCTTGAGTGTTCCTACCAAGTACATGAGCATGGTGGCCCATGCCTTGGCCACCCAGACAACGTTTCACATTGTAACAGAAAAAGCTAGTCCATCAAATAACAAGAGGAGGGCATATGTTGTTATATGTGTGTTATGTAGGCTGGAGTAAACCTGGGGGCTGCCAGAGCCTTTGGAAGAGGAAGCAGGCAGGCCTTCAGTGCATGGACACATGGGTGTGCAGACACACACACCCACATGGGCCGTGAGGACTGTCTTTGCTCCTGGCCTCCCGATGTACCTGCCTGCTTTCCCGTGACCAGCTGGGGCTGTCCCAGCTCTGCCCTGAGCTGCATACCAAACAGAGCTTCAGAGAATGCAGCTGAGAGACTGGTGGGCCTGGCCCCCAGAAGGTAGGCAAGGGAAAGAGCCTCCACTGAGTCCTAACTTCACCTCCCTTGGCTGCCTGAGGTCACCAAGCGAGGTCCTTTCAGGCCAGCCTGGCAGAGGCACAGGCACCCAGTCACCAAGACCAGCCACCGAGGTGTATGTGCAAAGTCAGAACTGGGGGGAAGTGCCCTTCTCCCTGTCAACCTGCCAACTTGCTTCTGGGGCCTGGGAGAAGGGAGATCCTACACTCAGGAGGATTCATGTGGAGAGTCACCAGCCTGCCCTCCAGTAGCTCGAAGCTTCTACAAAGGCTGGGGCATTAGGACAGCACTCAGAGCACCAAGTAGGCTCTCCAATTTCACTGGCAGGGCTGCTCTACATGGAGAAGTATGTATGGAGCCAGGGGCCAGAGGTCTGGAGACAGGAGGCGGATGCGGCAGCGAGGGTCTTCAGGAGCATGGGGGCGGACACAGCTGATTGACTGTGTGCTATTACTACCTTCTTTGAGCTAAGCATCCATATTTCTGAGGAAAACTTAATTACAAAACTGCTAAACGCCCCCCCACCACATATTTAAAGATAATTTTTCTTTTTCCAAAGAAATCTCATTACATTTTGATCACATTGGCCTGACTCTCGGGGCCACTCGCCGGCGCCTCCTGAAATATGGCAGTGGGCTGCGGCACGGGGGCATCCTGGGGCTCTTAGTGTTGGTTCTCAAAATGCCCCGAGTTCTCCTG